CTTTAACAGAAGCAGAGTTAGACCAATACTGAGAGCTTTTAAAAATCTCACTTGTAGAGTATACAGCGCCTCAATTTAAAGCTAGTTTGTTTCAACCTTACATTTACATTTACTGTGTGATGCTTTTTGGAGAGATTTTTGACATTCACATGCTTTGTATAATTTAAGATGTTATTGGTATGAATTACCTACTCCAAATTCTATGACAAGCAGTGATAACTGATAATATGATAGATATTCTAAAATTTAGTAAAATAAATAGTGCTATTCGCCTGCAGTTTGGTCTTTGAAGGCATGCATCAAATTAACAAATGCCCATGGGATAATTTAGAATAGGACTGTGACAGCTTTCCAAAAAGATCTCTTCACTCTAAAAACTTGGTAATTAAGGACGCAATTACAGATTAAAAAATCCAAGTAGTTTTAAAATGCAATATAGACATCTAGAAAACTCCTGTTCAGGGTTGGGGTTAACAGCTAATTAACAAAAGTGGGAGTTAATAGGTTCTCAGTGGACCCTTTGGTTTTGATCAGACACAATAATGCTGAAACATTTAACCCTTTCATGATACGTTATTCAGCTATAAGAAAATAAAACTTGATACTTCAAATTGCATTTGGTATTGGATTGTGCCAAACAAAAGGTGGATTGACTTTTTGTCATTTTTGTTGTAAGCCCTCTTTTAAAGGGGAAATGTCAACTTAAAAATGCATTTAATAAATCCCCTTACCTTTATCCCTAATACAAATGGGACTAAGATTGTAAAAATATCTTGAACAACCAGAGCCTTCAAACTATGGGGAAATGTCCAGCTATAGCCTTGAAAGAATTTCTGGGAAGAGGAACCTAAGTAAGGTAAAGGAAGGTGGGAGTGGACAAGACTTCAGTTAAAGAAATTAACTTAATCCATTGTTATTTACTTTAGGGATGTTAGATATTGTATAATTGAATTGACATGTAACTGCATGAAATCTTAGCGGTTATATGACTATTGGAAAGTTCCCGAGGGGCAAGGCTGGCAGCCAATGTGCCCCTGGCCCCACTCCTGGTGAGCCCTCTATCAGCCCGCGTAGCATCACAGGAGTGTGGGTGAGCACAGGTGGATCCAGTGCTTACTCCTGGTGAGCACTCTATCAGCCCGCGCAGCCTCACAGGAGTGTGGGTGAGCACAGGTGGATCCAGTGCTCATGGGGAGCCACCTTAAAGCCAGATCTTCAGAGGCACTGGCTTCCCCCCTCTCCCCACCTCCTCCCCCCACCTCCAGCTGCATCTGACACAGAGGTAGCCAGGGTGGTGGGGGGAGTGCATACAGTCAACAGGATTAACTGATAATCCCAGGCTTATCAGTTAGTCATTTAGTCAACTACACTGTTGAAATACCTAATTTACGTACCATTTTTATTGCGGTAGCACTCTCAAACCTCAGTCAGTATCAAGGCCCCATTATAGTAGTCGCTGTAGAGAGACACCATATTGTATAGTAGCACTCTCAAACCTCAATCAGGATCAAGGCCCCAGTATAGTAGTCGCTGTAGAGAGACACCATATTGTATAGTCATTGTCCCAAAGGACTTATACTTTTTATGTTGCTTGTCTTCTAGATTGTATGGAGTAAAGATTGTAATCAGATGTATACAGTTTTACATGCACATCTATAGATCTATAGTTGTTTTTTGATATCCTCAGTTAAAGTGTTTTTTAGATAAATTTAGATAAAGACACTTAGTTACATTGCGTCTGTTCCCCAAGGCTGCTTCTTGCTGTATTATCCAATACTCGCTTTTCAGAAATTTCCTGTTACCTGATCCAGGGTCACGTCTTCTGACTGTAGCAAGACCCTGTTCAGATACTGAAATAAGGGTGTTTCCTATAAGTGAGTTTCATACATTGTCATTCCCATTTAAGATTTGGGAAGTAGCTCTCATAGAGGTGGAAAGGCTGACCATGCAGTGATCTAGACCTTGTAGGACTAGATATTACACTGATCTGTCTGTAAAGTTGTTGGTTATTGGCTGTATTATGTGAAGTGCTGCCTAATGTAGGAAAAAGTGGAGGAAAAACTGTCAGGCCTACTTGAGTGGGAAGCTATTTGCAATGCTAGTTGCAATGCTACTTTGCTACTGTCAAAAGTGAATATATGGCAAGTAAGTGGATATTGGATAGCCTGAGAGATTACATCCTTATGTGAATGAGTGTTCAGCATGGAGCCCTGTCACTGAGTGGACACAGTGAAAGAGCTTAATTCGAGAGTTAGGTGGAGGTTCTTTTCTCTGAAGCACTGAACCTTTACTATTCATTGTCCTGGTAAGCAAAATTAGTGGCAGATTATCTTTCTGCTTTGAATCCAGGGAATCCTGAATATCTCCGAGAACTAACTTTTTTATTTGCCCTATTTAATCTCCCTTTTGTTTTCTTTTCCATTTGCTTCCGGCTGCTCAATTTGTCAGGATTGTGATTTGATTTAAAATGGATGACAAGATAGTTATGGCATAATGCCACTATCACAGAGTAGAGTGAGCGGTTTCTCTTTGACCTTAAGAACTGCATTCTGAAATTAACACAGGAAAAGGAAGGAGACGAAGAGAGGTAATCTGGGCAACTAATTTAGGCTGAAGAAAGTCTCTTGTATTGTATCTCACTGGTTTTTATCTGTTTCCTTACACAACTTACTATCTTCATAAATAAAACAACACAAAACATGTCACACCCATAAATAGGCTGCAGAGTTAGATTTTATCAACTTTCACTGTCCACCAATGTATTCCATTGTGACACACAATCTAGAAGTGATTTAGTTTGCTCTCAAAGTAAGCGTAGTGATCTAACAGCATGCATCTCAAGAAACATCCTTTCAGAGAACTCCACATATAGGCAAATAATGTATCTATATCTGTTCACTGCTTCTGCTGAGCAATGTGATGAAGATTTTCTCTTCTGTCCTAATCCAAAACTCTAGCTACGTGTAAAACAAAACAAATCTCTCCCCCCCGCCCTCAGTTTTTCCACATTAAAAAAATCATTCCACTTGATAAGTGGCTTTTTCTTCCTTTAATCCCAACAGTCTTCATTACTAATATTACTAAGCAAGGGAGAAGAAGCGCATTTGCAAATATCTGAATTCCCAACATATTTTGAGTTCCTTCTCCTACTCTGTGGTGCATCTATATATTTGCATCATGAAGGTTATGTTTCTCTTTGATGCGTGCTTATAGATAGCTTGTAAAATGTTCTGGAATAGTGTAAACTCATTATTTCCTGATGCAAAGGATGTTTTTTCTGAATAGAGTTGTTCGACATTTTCATAATAGATTACTTGTGAATAAATTTTATTTTGTAGGCTATTTGCAAACTTTTTGTAGTTCCTTACATGGTTGGTCACCCTAAGTCACACGGTATTGTCTCCGCTCTCTGAATGGATGACTAATTTTTCTTAAATAGCCAATAGTAAATAAACTTGAAAATATGTGTATTCATTTGCAGAACAGCCATTCCTCAAACATTTATGTAAACAAATTCATTTGTAATTAGTGAATAAAAAGGGGCATATCAAACACAATTTTGCAAATACTGATTTGAGTATTCTGACTGGACGAGGTAATTTTTCTCAGTAATTATTACTGAGTTTTGTGGCTTTAAAAACATTAACTGAAGAATAGGGAATGGAGTTTTATCCTTTTTTTTTTTTAATATACTAAATAATCTTCCTGAACACTTGTCTGCTCTTGAATGTCTTCCTTGCAGGAGTTTTATTACATATTTCTTTTCAAATGTAGCCAGGCAGCTAAAGTAAGCTGACTTTCTCAATTTTCTAAGTTATTCTACAACTTGATAAATTTAACTGCTTTGTACGTTTTTCTAAATGTGCATTCTTGTATTGACTAATGTAATGTATGCCTTAGGAAAATGTATGCCAGAATTAAACATTGAAGATTAATGTTCTACAATCAAACCAATGGAAGAATTTTTATGTTTTGGTTTAGTACATACAAAAGGTGCTACATAAATAGCACAAGAAACTGAAGTCTTTTATTCCTAGAACAGATTTGGCATGGGCAATAACAGTGCCAGCATTTAAAAACCTGTCCCTGGAGAAATACATTAGAGCATATACAGCTATAGGTTCGTAGGTTCGTATAGACCCTTGTGTCTATGTAGATTTTCACTGAACATGGATGCAAGTGTCTAGAGGCCTAATGGCATAAGACAATTATTAGTCAATTATTAATAAGTTCTGTTCCTCCACAAGGATAACAGTTGCAATTACAAGGACGATTTTTATCATGTGGACACCTGTTCACTAGCAATAGGACTGTACAAGAACTAATTCTTCTCATTATCACCGCTCCCAATCACTGCTGATTTAGCCTGTATATAAATTCTGAGGTGAAAACTTCAGTGTCTCTTACTGATCCCCTGTGCCATCTGGTTCCACTACTGATGCTGTTTATTCATCTGTGTTTTTATTCTGTTATTAAATCTATTTTGAAATATTAAATCATTTCCCTTTTCTGGTGTCTCCATTTCTTTTTTCAGCATTGTATTCCTGTGACTGGAGGTAGCGGACAGGAGAACTTCCCTACATCAATGCACTGCCAATGGTAAATACAATTTTAACTGCCTAAAAAAAGTTGTTCTTTTAGTGCTACTACAATTCAGTCTTATACTGCAAATAATGTGTTTGAAAGTCTTAGGACATGTCTACACTACAGAATTATAAAGACCTAACTTATGTTGGCATACAGCCATTGCAGTTATTAAATCACTTGTTTATATGCAGTATTTGGCTCCTTGTGTCAGCGGTATACTTGCTCAACAGGAATGCTTGTATATATTTTCAAGCAGAGGGCATTGTGAGATCTCCTGAAAGCCTATATCAGTCGACATAAACAATGCAGTGTTTACGCTGACACTGTCGTCCCTCTCATTTTTTTTTTACATCCATGTGCAGAATAACTTTTTATGTGTACTGAGGCATGTATAGATATGCACCACCAATAGAAACACCTGCTGCTGGCTTTGTGTGCTGTGGATACTCTGCTAATCAGCTGGGAGGTATTTAAATCTCTCCTGAATGGGTGCACAAGCTCTCAGCTACAGCGAACACTGTTGTCAACCTACTTACATTAACTGTGGTGCCACTCAGGGAGGTGGCATTACTAAATTAGCATAGAGAGGCACTTATATTGGTGGGAGCCAAATTTATGTGAAGACGCTTCTGCAGCTAGATTAATGCTAGGCAGCTTACATCTTGTAGGCCTTATTTTTAGAATGCAAGTAGAGTTTTCTGCAGCAAAAACCATAGCTTTACACTGGTTGACAAAGGAATTTACAAGTATTTCAAGATTTATTCCTTTTGGCGAATACAGCAACATACTTTGTTTTCAACAATTAGTTTAATTTGATAACATCTTAGTACAGTCACCATGTGGGTAATTGTTACTGTTTCTTCTTCTGATCAAGGGCATGGGCAAGTGGTTGAGTGGCTAGATATTATACTATCCCAATAGGATGCTTTTTGCAAGCTCATTTCAGTACTAGCAGCTTCTCTTTTTAAAAAGCTGTGCAGTGCCAGCGGTTTCTTGTTTCAACACATTTGCCAACAGAAAACTAATGAAGTTACATTTTGCTCTCAGAAAGGGGACAGGCTGATGTCCTCTTTTCTCATTTGCTCTCTGTAATGTTAATAAGTATTTTACATTTAAATTTGCAGACTTTTTAATTACTTTTGCTTTGTAGTGGTTGAGCAGATTGAGAATGGAAGTGAGGGTTGGAAGAGAAGGTCATAGACGGGACGACCAGGGAAAAGATTGTAAATGTTGCCTCCACCTCTGATGAGCTCCACGTGTGATTGCTTTCTTTGCAATTTTGATGTCCTCTTTTGTCACAGTGCAGCAGTTTTAAAATCTTAACTTGTATCACTAACCTGAAAAGTGACTCTGAAAAAACGATATTGTGTTTGTCTATCAAAGGGTTGCAGATTAAATATTCTCGGTTCACAAATAAAAAGGATGTTTGTATTTTTAACTGAGAACCCTGAAAATCCCACCCAGATTCTGAGAACTGAACTATGTTCTTCCAATTATAGAATCATAGGACTGGAAGGGACCTCGAGAGGTCATCGAGTCCAGCCCCCCGCCCTCAAGGCAGGACCAAGCTCCGTCTACACCATCCCTGACAGATGTCTATCTAACCTGTTCTTAAATATCTCCAGAGAGGGAGATTCCACCACCTCCCTTGGCAATTTATTCCAATATTTGACCACCCTGACAGTTAGGAATGTTTTCCTAATGTCCAATCTAAACCTCCCCTGCTGCACTTTAAGCCCATTACTCCATGTCCTGTCCTCAGAAACCAAGAGGAACAAATTTTCGCCTTCCTCCTTGTGACACCCTTTTAGATATTTGAAAACCACTATCATGTCCCCCCTTAATCTTCTTTTTTCCAAACTAAACAAGCCCAGTTCATGAAGCCTGGCTTCATAGGTCATGCTCTCTAGACCTTTAATCATTCTTGTCGCTCTTCTCTGTACCCTTTCCAATTTCTCCACATCTTTCTTGAAATGTGGCGCCCAGAACTGGACACAGTACTCCAGCTGAGGCCTAACTAGCGCAGAGTAGAGCGGCAGAATGACTTCACGAGTTTTGCTTACAACACACCTGTTGATACAACCTAGAATCATATTTGCTTTTTTTGCAACAGCATCACACTGTTGACTCATATTCAACTTGTGGTCCACTATGACCCCTAGATCCCTTTCCGCCATGCTCCTTCCTAGACAGTCGCTTCCCATCTTGTATGTATGGAACTGATTGTTCCTTCCTAAGTGGAGCACTTTGCATTTCTCCTTATTAAACCTCATCCTGTTTACCTCTGACCATTTCTCTAACTTGCTAAGGTCATTTTGAATTATGTCCCTATCCTCCAAAGAAGTCGCAACCCCACCCAGTTTGGTATCATCTGCAAACTTAATAAGAGTACTCTCTATCCCAATATCTACATCATTGATGAAGATATTGAACAGTACGGGTCCCAAAACAGACCCTTGAGGAACTCCACTTGTTATCCCTTTCCAGCAGGATTTAGAACCGTTAACAACAACTCTCTGACTACGGTTATCCAGCCAATTATGCACCCACCTTATCGTGGCCCTATCTAAGTTATATTTGCCTAGTTTATCAATAAGAATATCATGCGAGACCGTATCAAATGCCTTACTAAAGTCTAGGTATATGACATCCACCGCTTCTCCCTTATCCACAAGGCTCGTTATCCTATCAAAGAAAGCTATCAGATTAGTTTGGCATGACTTGTTCTTCACAAACCCATGCTGGCTATTCCCTATCACTTTATTACCTTCCAAGTGTTTGCATATGATTTCCTTAATTACCTGCTCCATTATCTTCCCTGGGACAGACGTTAAACTGACCGGTCTATAATTTCCTGGGTTGTTCTTATTCCCCTTTTTATAGATGGGCACAATATTTGCCCTTTTCCAGTCTTCTGGAATCTCCCCTGTCTGCCATGATTTTTCAAAGATCATAGCTAAAGGCTCAGATACCTCCTCTATCAGCTCCTTGAGTATCCTGGGATGCATTTCATCAGGACCTGGTGACTTGCTGACATCTAACTTTCCTAAGTGATTTTTAACTTGTTCTTTGTGTATCCTATCTTCTAAACTTACCCTCTCTCTGCTTGTATTCACTACGTTAGGCACACCTCCAGACTTCTCGGTGAAGACCGAAACAAAGAAGTCATTGAGCATCTCCGCCATTTCCAAGTTCCCTGTTACTGCTTCTCCCTCCTCACTAAGCAGTGGGCCTACCCTGTCCTTGGTCTTCCTCTTGCTTTTAATGTATTTATAAAAGGTCTTCTTGTTTCCCTTTATGCCTGTAGCTAGTTTGATCTCATTTTGTGCCTTTGCCTTTCTAATCTTGCCCCTGCATTCCCGTGTTGCTTGCCTATATTCATCCTTTGTTAGTTGTCCTAGTTTCCATTTTTTATATGACTCCTTTTTTATTTTGAGATCATGCAAGATCTCCTTGTTAAGCCAAGCTGGTCTTTTGCCATATTTTCTATCTTTCCTACACAGCGGAATTGTTTGCTTTTGGGCCCTTAACAACGTCCCTTTGAAATACTTCCAACTCTCCTCAGTTGTTTTTCCCTTCAGTCTTGCTTCCCATGGGACCTTACCTACAAGTTCTCTGAGCTTATCAAAATCTGCCTTCCTGAAATCCATAACCTCAATTGTGCTGGTCTCCCTTCTACCTTTCCTTAAGATCATGAACTCTATTATTTCATGATCACTGTCCCCTATACTGTCTTCCACTTTCAAGTTCTCAACTAGTTCCTCCCTATTTGTTAAAACCAAATCCAGAACAGCTTCTCCTCTGGTAGCTTTTTCAACCTTCTGAAACAGAAAGTTGTCTCCAATGCAGTCCAGAAACTTATTGGATAGCCTGTGCCTCGCTGTGTTAGTTTCCCAACATATGTCTGGATAGTTGAAGTCCCCCATCACCACCAAATCTTGGGCTTTGGATAGTTTGGGGGTTAGGGTTCAGGAGGGAATGCGGGTTTTGGGAGGGAGTTTAGGTGCAAGAAGGGGCAGGGGTGCAGGATCGTCGTGCACAAGTGGTCATGGGGTGGGGCTCAGGGCTGGGGATTATGGGGCAGGAGAGAGTCAGGGCACAGGTTCCAACCAGGTGGCCCTTACCGTGGGAAGCTCCTCCCTGGAGGGCAGTTCAGTGAGGCTAAGGCAGGCTTGACCCATATCACTCCTGGAAGCAGCCAGCACATCCTAGTACCTGGGGCAGTAAGTAGAGATCCCGCCCCTCTCCCCACACTGAGGAGCCACATGGAGGGACGTGCTGTCTGCTTCCAAGAGTGGCACAGAGTCAGAGCATGCAGAGAGCTTGCCTTAGCCGATTTCTGGATTTGGCTTCAGGAGCCTCCAGAAGATCAAACCCTCACCTTCAGTTCTATGTAGCTGATTCGTTAGTTTGTAATGTGTTTACTTTTTTCATTGTATCCCTCTCTTATATAATGGTCATGCCAATTCACTTTCAGATTATGATCTGAAGAAGTAGGTCTGCCCCAGGAAAGCTCATCACCTAATAAACCATCTTGTTAGTCTTTAAAGTGCTACATGCCTGCCTTTTTTGTTTGTCCAAAGGTGCGAGGCTAGCTGTACCCTCAGAACTTTCTGTTTGTGCCAGTTTTTTATTGCTAATCTCAGCTGCTTTCCATCAGAAAAGAGCAGCTCTTTTTATTTTTATATTAATACTGCTTTTTATTCCAGCACATCTTTTTATTCAAGATTTGAAATATAGTTCTGTGCTTTTGCTTTCCTTAACAACATGACTCCTATATTAAGCCACTATTAATACTTCATTAAATATTAAAATACTGAGATCTGTATTTGAAATCGTGTTGCATTCTGTCCTAATTTTCCCTCCCTGCAAAATGTATCAAACACTGAATTGTGCAATCTGAAGGGCATGCTATTTGGTACACTAATAATAATAGATACTTAACTGCGACATGGAGCATCAAGAGATGTTCTTCACTACTTTCATAAGATCTGCTCTTACTATAGAGATGG